GGACCATTTTAGTCTCAGAGACTATAAAAATGTCACTTTAGTCCTTAAGGCTTTTCTAATATGGCTAAAACTCATATTAAAATAGTTTAGGGACTGATTTAACACTTTTATGGACTCCAGGACTAAAATGGTCCCATATAAATAGTCAATGGACTATTTTGACACTTTACTCTAAAATTGAGTGTGGACTGTAGCCAATGTAGCTTAGGTTTTTAAATCAAAATTGATTGAATTTTTCCATTGATGATCTTCTTGTTTTCTGATCTCTTCATTATGTTCATGTCAATAAATTTATTTCAAAATTACTCTAACTTGGAAATATCACTCTATTGTTCCAATAGTTTACACTTTAGACTCTGCCAATGCTGAAGATGCTATTCTTCCTTTCACGAAGCTACATGTTAATGAAAAAAAGAGAAAGAATTGCACACCCTACCCTGTTTTAGATTTTGAGAAATCAAAGTTTGACTTTGATACAAGAAAGAGAAAGAGTTCCTTTTCGCCTAACGAAGGTATCTTATCATATGTTTTATGATCAAGTCCCTTGCAATTTGGCAAATATTTGTCACTTCAAAATGTTATTTGCTTCATTACTTTCTATATCACCAATAATAAGTTTTTTTTTTCCTTGTGCAGTTTCGATGCAAATTGTGGAACTGGATGAACCAATTTGTATTGAAGATAGGCTTAGAGTAGCAGGACTTCTTGAGGATAAATACGAACTTGAGAGGAAAGCTTTTTCCAATGGTTTTGATGATGCCATCATGTATGACAGCCTTGACTTCATAGTTGATGTTAACTTGCCACGAAAAAAGGTTTGTCCTATTACGAGCGCATAAAATGCAGCACCAATTGATACAATATGGTGCATTTTGTCATTTCTCATTCGGGGCATTTACATACAGACCACCCAAGTCTTATGCATTTGCATATGTAACACCTCAATTTTGTTTTTTTACTTTTATAAACGATTCTAGTCTTTCGCAGCACTTAAAAAATATCAGTATTTTAACCCTTTAAAAGTGAAATGCACCTTTTCATGCATAGATGAGGTGACATTTATGTAAAAATTGAATTTTAGGTGTTAGATATGCAAATACATAAGAATTGAGTGGTATGTATGTCAATATCTCATTTACATACCGCCTAAATTTTAATGATACTCATGCAAATATCATATTTTCAACACTGTTTTATATTTCTAGTTCAATTTTTGTTGTTCCATAGCCTTGTTGTTGATTATTCTTTTGCCAAAATTTTTAAGGAAGATTTTCATACATACCACTCGATTACCACGTAATTACATATCCAACTCCTAAAGTTTATTTTTTGCATACATACAACTTTACCTATGGATGAAAAGGTGCATTCCACTTTTTAAAAGTTAAAAAAATGATGGTGTTTTTGATGTGATATGAAAGCTTCGAGTGTTATAAATGTAAAAAAACAAATTTTAGGTGTTAGATATGTAAATACATAGAAATGCTCCTTTTTGAGTGGCATGTGTGTTAATGCCTCTCTTTGTAATTGCATCCATATAATGAATTTTGTTGTTATATGGATGAATAACCACACACGTATGGTGTCAAAATTATTGTCTTATGTACTAAAGTTTTTTTATCAATTTCATTTTAGATAAGGAGCCAAATCTCGAAAATGAGAGCAGGTGATGCTTGTAAGCTGTTAGAATTATTGGTTCCATCATGGAGAACTGGGTGAGTGAATTCGGGTGAGTCAATTTATTCTCATTTAATCAAGTTGATAGTGAATCTTAATATTAATTCCAGTTGCATCTGCTTTATACATTTTTATGCTTTTCTTTTTCTTAAAACTAAAAGAATTTAAGGCAACTTTGTTATTTTTATCCAAAGAAAATTGTTAGAGGATATAGAGAACTTGCATATGTATTGGTGCTTCTCTTTTTTCGTAGTTTGTTATTTGATGCAAAGATCAAAGTTTAAAGTCGAGTCAAATATGTCGTGATACGTTGGACTTTTTCATTTGAGCGCGATGCTAACAAGACACATTTCCCTTGATTTGTCCTCCATGTGAGCATATGCTAACAATTGCACTTTTTGATGCATTTTTCAAACTTCACACTTTTCCCTTGATTTTTCCTTCATGTTAGCAGATGCTAACAATTGCACTTTTTGATGCATTTTTCAAACTTCACACTTTTCCCTTGATTTTTCCTTCATGTTAGCAGATGCTAACAATTGCACTTTTTGATGCATTTTTCAAACTTCTCTTATGTTTTATATTCTTTGTTTGTAAGCATTTTTTTATTTTTTATATTAGAAAATATATTAGAAAAATTAATGCTATTATATTATGTTAAAATACTTTATTATATGTAGCCCTTATTATTGCGCTCCTTTTATAATGAAAATTTATGGCTACTAAAGTTATATATATAATATCCAAAATATCAAGTTGTGAATATCAGATTGGACATTGTACAAGAAGGACAGGTTCAAGGTTGAACGATTCAATCGGGATTGAACTTGATGATGTAATAATATTAATTTTTTTTTTAATGATTAAAACATTATAAGAATAATGCAATCATGATACTTTCATCAACTTTGTATATACTATTTTAATTCAGGATATTTCATGCTTTTAATATTTTGAACATGCTTCTAAACAAGTTTGATAAATGCTATTTTAATTGTTTTATTAATTTTTAATCTAAACCTTTTTTAGTTTTAGTCATTCGATCAAAATAAAAAAGCCAAATGGTAATCAATTCTAGAACCATCTGCATATAAAAAGTCATTTTGATTCATTGGTTTAATTGCTTGTTCTGATCAGTTTTGTGCAAAAATAGTTTTGGACACAAACTTACCGATCAAAGGATTGGTTCATGATTGAATTGGTTGAATAAGCTAGTCCGATTTGGTTTTAAAATCATAAAAAATAACCTGTTGAAACTAGTAATTTTTTTTTTTATTGAAACTAATAAGGTTTAGGGCTGAAAATTGTATCTCCAAAACCTAATGCAAATTTTTGGTTTTTCTCGATCATAAACCCTTATATTTGATCATTATGGACCGACGAGTAAATGTAATTATTTTTATCAAACTAACTCTAAATTTGCATTGGGTTATGGAGATCTCAGACTTTAATTTTTTTATTTATGGCTTTGGATGGTGAATTGCTTGAGTTTTACATGTTGAATCGGTTTCATTTCCATTGATTTTTCGGTTGTATTTAATTAAGAACTTTGGGGATTTTTGGGTATGTGGGCTTGAAGCTTGCCTAAAGTGATTTTTTCGTGCCAGCAAAAAATGGTCCGACAAATTTTTTCGTCTGTTCTCGCCTTGTAATTTTGCATACAAAGGAATTTGTTTCCTGTTTTCCAGCCGCCAATTTGCCTAGCAGATTAGACTTATGAAAATATTTCTCATGTCGCATAAGGGGTTGCTGTGATGGAATTTAGCATTATCCTCTTCCTGTTATGTGGTGAAATTATCGTTACGGCCGCTTGAAGTCATTATGATTCGCTACTCATGGACTTAATTGTTTGAATAGGGCATTTGTACGTTTTGAAATTAAAAGTTGAATTGACTGTTATATCTGTTATTAACTTTAAGGAAGATTTAAATGCATACCACTCAATTCTTATGTATTTACATATCTAACACCTAAACTTCAATTTTTACATGTATGTCACCTTCCCTATGTATGAATAGGTAGGTGTATTTTTCACATTTTGAACGTTAAAATAATGGTATATTTGATGCGATATGAAAAATTTGGGCGACATAAATGTGAAAATCAAAGTTTAGGTGTTAGATATGAAAATACATAAGAATTGGGATGTATGTAAATGTCCCTTTAAACATTATCTAATAGTCTAGGTTTTGAGGACTATAAATAATAGTTATGAAGCATGCAAAGGAGAACTGTAACGTTAGAATATAGTTACTCTTTGAATTTTCAGTCTTGGGAGTGACAGTTAGATTTGTGATTTTTTAGAGCACGATGCAAGAGCGATTATCTCATTTTGGGGAGCTCATCTTGTGCTAATATAAGACTAAATTTCTTATTTACTTCAATAATTGTTTTTTATCTCTTTCTTTTGCATAGTTTCCTCTTGATTTGGCAAACAAATTATTAGTTAGGGATTTGATTATGTAAAACTAGAAAAAATGCTAATAATGAGAAAATTAATGTTATTTATTGAATCTAATGCCAGACCATAGACTGAAATATCTATAAAGAAACTAAAATACGAGAGTATATCGGCTATTTTTCTATTCTCTTTTATTTACATATTAAAATTTAGTATTGCTACTATGAGTAGCTTTTTTTTTTTTTTTGCAGTTTTGAAGTCAGCTTTTTGAAGAGTATTTTTTTAAGAATTTTATTTGATCATAATTCTACCATATATTTAATATGTTTTTATTATTCTGATATATGTGCCTTTGGCTTTAAACGAGTTCATAATTAATTTTAGCTCCTCGCTTTTATCTTGCTTCTTGCCTTCATTGACTCTGGGAGTACAAGCCATATAAATCTTGGGTCATTTAAATACATAACACATAATACTTATGTATTTACATATCAGTCACCTAAACTTTAATATTTACACACCACACTCAAATCTTTAATATCGCATTATAAAAGTTTTGTTGCCACTTTTTAAAGTTAAATCCATATTTTCATGCACAGTTTTAATGCACCAAAGTGCTGTCCATGTAAATATGAAAGTTTAGGTGTGAGATATGAAAATACATAAGAATTGCATGCTATGGGTGTAAATTTCCTATAAATCTTTTTTGTAATACTTTTATCTGAATGCCCAGCGAACACCGTGTATAACAAATACCAAATGAGCCCTTTGATAATGTCACTAAGAAAGAGAAACTGCTATAATTTAAATTATGGTTCATTTAGTATATAACGGGTATATGTTGGTACTGCTCATGTCTAATTTTTAATTCTGTTTTGTTTCATAAAGCATTCTCATTTGTTAATGAATGACTTTACATTTTTGCTTACTAAAATGTTTCAGCCAATGCTGTAATTTCTTATAGGGACATTTACATAAATTGAACACAATTCTAATGTATTTACATATCTCTTCTCTTCTTTCATATTTACAGGCATCATACTTAAATATTTAATATCGCATAAAAAATAGCAATATTATCCCTTTTTAATAGTGAAGTACACATTTTCATGCATAGGCTTAAAGCACCGAAGCGCGATGTATGTAAATATGAAACTTGAGGTGTGAGATATGTAAATACATAAGAATTGCGTGCCACATAAACTTCCCTTTTTTATAATCTCATGTTGTTTAAGATTCATTTAGTTTGCATTTATTACATGGTTATCTTATGCTTGAGTTGTTTTTTTAATCAATAGGTCTGCTAGTTCGAAGCATTTGCTGCCGTGGATTTATTATATTTTAGTCATCCATGGTCAGTTCATCATATCACATGATTCTTGTGCAAGGGTGCTTGATAACTTGGAGAAGGTAAGCAGTTAACTCTACAAGCCATTCAAGCAAAAGTATTATTGCTGCAAGATTTTTTTTTATATTTAATTTTTAATTTTTAATTTGCTGGGAACATAAAAAATTGTTATTATCTTTGATATGTTTCAGTCAGGTAAGATTTTCTTAAAAAAATTGTTACATCTTTGATATGTTATAGTCAAGGTTTTTTTTTGTTTTTTTTGTCTG